CAAAAAAAAAAAAAAAAAAAGAGATGCTGCCTATGTTGCCAAGGCTGGTATTTAAACTCCGGGCTCAAGCGATCCTCCTGCCTCTGCCTCCCAAAGTGCTGGGATTACAGGTACAAACCATTGCACCCAGCCCATGCAGTGTTTTTTTTGTTTGTTTTTTTTCTTTTGAGACGGAGTCTCACTCTGTAGCCTAGGCTGGAGTGCAGTGGTGTGAACCCGGCTCACTGCAATCCTCCGCCTCCTGCGTTCAAGAGATTCTCCTGCCTCAGCTGGGACTACAGGCACCCGCCACCACGCCTGGCTAATTTTTGTATTTTTTGTAGAGATGGGCTTTCACCATGTTGGCCAGGTTGATCTGGAGCTCCTGACCTCAGGTGATCCGCCCGCCTCTGCCTCCCAAAGTACTGGGATTGCAGGTGCGAGCCACCACACCCAGCCATTGCAGTATTTTTCAACAATAAAATTGAATGCCAACAAATCCATGTCGCACAGGAAAATCAAATTATTAAACAAAAGCTGGGATGGGTATTGCTGGGTTCTCCATGCTGGGTATCCGCATGGCTTCCTGTTCCTGAGCCTGTCTCTTGGGCCAGCAGTTTCTAGACCACTCACTAGGACCCCAAGGAGAGAGGCCAGGTGGGACCCCTTCCCAGCATGGGACCGCCAGCCCCTGGAATTGCTCTCACCTGGGCAATTGCTTGAGCCGGTTTAGAATGCCTTGATAATTCAGCGGTGGAGAGCTCTCAGAGCTCGAGATCCCAGGATGGGGCTGGAAAGGTCAAAGCAAGGTTACATAAAACTTACAATGCCCTGGCCCGGCACGGGTGGCTCACGCCTGTAATCCCAGCACTTTGGGAGGCTGAGACGGGTGGATCACGAGGTCAGGAGATCGAGACCATCCTGGCTAACACGGTGAAACCCCGTCTCTACTTAAAAAAAAAAAAATACAAAAAACTAGCCGGGCGAGGTGGCGGGTGCCTGTAGTCCCAGCTACTCGGGAGGCTGAGGCAGGAGAATGGCGTGAACCCGGGAGGCGGAGCTTGCAGTGAGCCCAGATCGCGCCACTGTACTCCAGCCTGGGTGACAGAGCGAGACTCTATCTCAAAACAAAAACACACACACAAAAAACTTACAATGCCCCAAACACTCAAGACCCCAGGTCTCCATCTCAACCAGAGTATAGGTATTAGGTTGGTGCAAAAGTAATTGTGGTTTTTTTGTTTTTGTTTTTTTTTGAAACCAAGTCTTGCTGTCACCTAGGCTAGAGTGCAGGGGCACAATCTCAGCTCACTGCAACATCTGCCTCCCAGGTTCAAGTGATTCTCCTGCCTCAACCTTCCAAGTAGCTGGGATTACAGACGCCTCCCACCATGCCTGGCTAATTTTTGTATTTTTAGTAGAGATGGGGTTTCACCATCTCGGCCAGGCTGATCTCAACCTCCTGACCTCGTGATCCACCCGCCTCGGCCTCCCAAAGTGCTAGAATTACAGGCATGAACCACTGTGCCCGGCCTCTCTTATTTCAGTACCTAAAAGAGCATCTTCCATTTTGCACGTTGGCCTAAAGTCTAAAATATCCACCACATTCTTGTGATGGAAATAGAAGCACAAAAGATTTTTAAAAATAAAAGGCCAGGCAAGGTGGCTCACGCCTGTCATCCCAGCACTTTGGGAGGCCGAGGTGAGCAGATCACCTGAGGTCAGGAGTTTGAGACAAGTCGAGGCAACTCAGCAAAACCCTGTCTCTACTAAAAATACAAAAATTAGCCGGGCATGGTGGCACACACCTGTAATCCCAGCTACTCGGGAGGTTGAGGCAGGAGAATCATTTGAACCTGGGAGGTGGAGGTTGCAGTGAGCCAAGATCGTGCCACTGCACTCCAGACTGGGCGACAAGAGCAAGACTCAATAAAATAAAGTCTGTTGGCCAGGTGCAGTGGCTCACGCCTGTAATCCCAGCACTTTGGGAGGCTGAGGCGGGCAGATCACGAGGTCAGGAGCTCAAGACCAGCCTGGCCAACATGGTGAAACCCCATCTCTACTAAAAATACAAAAAAAAAAAAATTGGTGGTCATGGTGGCAGGTGCCTGTAGTCCCAGCTACTCGGGAGGTGAGGCAGGAGAATTACTTGAACCCGGGAGGCAGAGGTTGCGGTGAGCTGAGATTGCGCCATCGCACTCCAGCCGAGGTGACAGTGTGAGACTCCGTCTCAACAACAATAAAGTCATAAAGTCTCAAAACAAAATATTCCTCATCTGACCCCTTTACAAAAAAGTTTGCTCAGCCCTGAGAGCCTAAATTTACCAATGGTCATCTCTGGGACATAAAGTACAGGGAGCCCGGATTGCTTGTAAAATATTAACCAAATACGTGCTGTGTTCCTGTGTTTTTTATCACGTATGTGATTAGAAGCTACATTTTTTTAAAGATGGGATCTCACTTTGTCACCAAGGCTGAAGTGCAATGCCTCAAACTCCTTGGGCTCAAGCGAAGCCTCTGCCTCAGCCTCCTGGGTAGCTACAACTACAGGCAGGCCCATGTCACTAGGCCCAGCTGATTCTTTTAGTTTAATTTTTTTTTGTAGAGATGGGGTCTCATTACGTTGTCCAGGCTGGTCTCAAACTCCTGGGCTCAAATGATCCTCCTGCCTCGGCCTCCCAAAATGTTGAGATCACAGTTGTGAGCCACTGTGTCCAGCCTACACTTAATTTTTTAAAACAAAACGGCTCCTTGGCACCTGTCTTGAATGTAGCAGTGACCGGTATTGTCTTCAGCTGTGAGGCCTGGACGAGGCCAGCCCAGGTCACAGGTGGATACAGGATGAGAAAGGGGCAGAACCTCATTGGGCCGACCTGGGTTTCCCTTGAGGGCTGATCCCACCCCATGCCCTCCTCACCGAAGTGCCTTTCGGGGGGTCCTTGGGGCTAGGGTGGTCCCTAGAGGTCATCTTCAGGCAGTAGCCTCCAGGACTTTAGCCAAAGTCTAAAACAAGCAGACAGCAGGTCTTGAAGGACAGAAAATAAGGCAGTGCCAGGGAGGGAGCCACCCCTTACACCACGTGCACCTCCCGGTTTGGTCAGTCTCCAGGGCCCCAGTCCTGCGGTTCCCCCATGCGTTCCCTAGGTCCCGTCCTCACTTATCAATGCCTCCAGCTGCCCAGATTCGTGGGGCCGGGAACCCAGAAAGAACTGAGCCCTGCCTCCCAGGCCTAACCCTAGGAGGTTGGGGTGGATGGTGCACATACACACTCCCTGCTGGGGGCAGTCAGGGATGGGGGAGCCCAGGGAAGGTCACCAAAGCTCAACCTTAGTTTTGAGCCAATTTCCTAAAGTGCAGAGAGATCACTAGAAAGGGGTTTTGAAGGATGAATAGGAGTTAGCCAGGTGCATTAGGCAGAATTCATCCGACAGAAGAAACGACCTCCCTCCACCTGCATCCCAGCTGCAGCACCAAGCTCCTTCCTTGCCTCAGTCCTGCCCTTCCACGCCCCTGCAGCCCCTTCCCCGGCCCGGGAATCTTGGAGTCCCCCCAACCCCCAGGAAAACGCCTGGCAACTCACGTCCCTCACAGGGCGGAAGCTGCCGAGGTCAGCCAAGTTCAGGCCAAGAGGAAACTCCTCCTTCCCCCACCGGGGGCCATTTGACCCATCGGGCCCCGCCTTGTCCCGCCCTGTCCCCGCCCCGTCCCGCCCAGGCCCTACCCAGCCGCCACCTGGACCGCGAAGCGGATCAATGAAGGCGCAGTAGCTGCACGTGGGTTCGGGCTCGGGGTGGGCAGGCATCTGGCGGCGCTGGCCAATCGTGAGGCCGTTTGCGCACGTGGGTCGCGTACGCCCTCCCTGATTGGCCGGCTCTCCCCGGCTGCCGGCCAAGCTGTCACTCAGCGAGTCGGGAGCCTCCGCTTAACCCTTTCGGTCCCGCTGCCGGGAAGGGCTGAATTGCAGAGCTCTAGGCAATTTGGGGTCCCAGCGGGGGCGGGGATATTTAGGAGGGCGTGGGGCTTGAGGCTCGGAGGGTGGAACTTGGGGAAGGCTAGGTGGCGAGTAATTGCATTGTTTTACGCATTTTTAGCCTTGTCCGGAAGTGGCTTATGGCTGGAGGTGAGGAGTGGGAGGTGGGTGGGGTCAATCTTTAGCGCTCTCACCCCAATGCTTAGATACGGGCTAATTATATTTTCCTCAATATTAAATAACGTGCAATGCAAACGAAGCTTCTAGTCCTCTTTCGGGAGCCAACTTACTGGGTTCCCTTGATGGTCCTAGCCCCGGGCTATGCATTTATCATATTGGAGCTCCCAGCCCAGTGACAAAGGCTCTGAGAGCAGAAAGCCGGACAGCAGAGGCCCTGAGGCTGGTACAGTATTGCCAGATCCAAGCCCGGGGTGGGAGAGAGTGGTGGGTATTCCAGATGGAGGGAATAGTGGAAGCTCTCAGGCAGAGCTGGGCTGGTTACAGGAGAAGACCGGGAGGCTAATGGGGCTGCGTGCACTCCGAACAGGCCTGGGATGATTTCAGAGAGGTAAGTGGGTTGCTACAGAGCGAGAGAAACCTGCTATGTGGGGTGGTGGGGATAGGGGTAAGGGGATTCCGGAGTTCTGTTTCGGCCTATTCAAAATATGAAGACAAGGCACCATGGCTCACACCTGTGATCCCAGCACTTTCGAAGGCTGAGGTGGGAGGATTGCT